AAGTTTTTCATACGTATTGATCGTTATTCAGCCTTAAAAAAAACAGGAAAAGAAAAACTTCCGTTTAGCCTCTGGTTTAGAATTTTTATTTTTCGTTCATATTATATCGCTTCATAATGAACATCCTCAATTTGAGATGAACGATGGTAACAAGAGAAGATAACAAATAGAAAAATTCACAAACACAACAGAGTTGATTCCAAGATCTGTACACAAACAAGCACAAGCCCACGAAGTCATATTTTTAACATTGAAGAGAATTTAGAAATAAAATCGCTTAGAAGTATAAACATGTTGTCTTATTTATACTTCATTTTCATTGACAAGCAGGTTAGGAATGCCATCTTTTATTGGGAACTTTCGTCCAGTGTCAGGACATTCCAGTTCCCCATCCACAATTTCGACACAAAGCATTACTCGGTGTAGCTGAAACAATAACATGTTGTTTGAAGACGTGTGGTGGATGCAGCATAGCAAAGAACTTATATGATACTTAAACTGTTAGGAATAAGAAAAAAAACGAGCAATTATTCCAAGATGCTAATTTCATCGGTTCTAGAGATTATAGGTCTCAAAGATGCCAAAAAGTATGAGAATGGTGCCCATCGGTGCTATAATGGTCGAAACAGCCGGAAAGCATGAAGACACGCAGTAGCCACGACAGATAAAAAGTTTTAGAACAGTTATGCAGACATCGGTTTTCAGCATTTTCTGCGATCAAATAAAACTATATCTTGCAAAAAGGCGAGATATGCGAAAAAGTCGAATGCATCATTTAGTTATAATCATAAGCGACTAAGCTGACGGGTAAAAAAGATTAGAAAAGATCAAAGAGTTTATTACTAGAGCAACTAACCTCCATAAGAACAGGAGTATTGGTTTCCCAATCATCCGGTAGTGATTCCGGCATGTTTCCTGCTTCTCCGATGGACAAAGCAGCATTATACAAAGAAGCATAGTCGACCTACAAAGGCTTTTTCAGCGCTCTTGTGACGTAAAAAACGAACAAGAAGTGTAAGGACCTTTGGCATCATGTTAAGCACAAACTTCTCATTAAACTCCACTTCTTTGTTTGCCTTCTGGTTGGCTCGAAGAATAAGCGGATAACCATTATTTACGTTTTTCAAAAATCTAGACGACAAAAAATTGTGCGTAAGAAGCTTCATCTGAAAAGATATTCTTTTTCAGCAATGGGTACACGACAAATGTCAAGGAGGGTCCCACTCCTGAAAGTTTAAAGACTCGATAAAAGATAGACTGGCCAGCTACCAGCTTCGCAGTATTACCCAGAGAATCGTTTACTTCATTTGGCATACAGATCGCAGAGAATACGCAGAAATTACATAAGAAAGCTTAAAGTGACTGAATTACTTACCACAAAACCTACTGAAGCCTATACACATCAGAAAAAACTATATGTAAATGATCACTAAGGTGATTTTATCGGTAAGTTACCATTACATGGTGTTCCAATTCTTAAATCACATGCAGAAAAACAGATGATATGAAAAAGAATCTTAAACCCGTATAATGAAAGATAGTTTGTAACCAGAAAGGGTACATTGAAATCATTGAGATGCAAGATTGCTAATATAAGTCCACAAAGTGATTGTCTATCACATTTACAGGTCAGTAACAATATACAGCAAAACAAAACAGCTATAAAAATTGGCTTTGAGTTTGGCTGCTAAGCTCCTTTCAACATCATTTCTTGAATTCTTACGGGAAATCTTGTAAATCAAAGAATCGGTTCATGATACGATAGCCCTTATGCTAAGAAACTTAGATGGGATCAGAAGAAAAACATCAGGAAAGAAGACAAGTCAGAAAGATAGTTTACCAGACCCAAAAGAAACAGGATTTCAATGAAAATTTCATACACAAATGTGATTTGATTTTGCAAACGACGAAGACACTTGCCAGTAACGCTAACAACGTGGAGATGCCTTTATAGGAGAGAGCAGTATGTCTTCCAGTGCATTGAAACTATTGCTGGAACCATCCAAGTCGCAACGCACTATGTTTCCGGTATTGTCCAAAAACTGTTCGTCACTGGTTACATTCTACAATTAAACAAAGTTTGATTGGAAGCTGAGTAGCATTAATGTGTCCCCAAAAAGCATCAGAGAAGGTTCACATGTACTCATCCAAAAAACGATAAGAATTTGTAATAGTACGGAACGGTAAGCTCGAAAACGAAAGAAAAGGAGAAAAACCTGTTCCAAGTCAAAGCAACCTCAAAAATTAATTCAGGTATTTTTACGCAAAAAAATGCGAGGAAAACTCTACTCCAAAACTCAAATTCTTCTTTTACTGATACGCTAATTAAAGCTAAAAGTTTTTTTT